GCGGGTATGCGTAGGCATTTCCCCCACGTTGAAAACATAAGGTGCGATTTGTACTTGTTCTTGTTTTTTTTATCGATTGGCGTGGAGTATTGGACCCTGTCTCTTGCGTCAGAGGGTGTGGGTTTGCCACGCAAGAGACAGGGACCCACATCTGGATATCAGCAGGGTCACGGGAACGCTTTCGCACACTTCCGCTACCCTACCAGCGCTGGCCGCTTAAGCAGCCCCCGCCGGGGAGCAACTCCCCTCTCCTCCAGGTAAGGCGCGCTTGAAAATTCAACGCGCCTTCCTACTCGGCCTCATTTTCATGGCCAACGAAATCCCCCGAGTTTCCTGACCAGGGCTATGGGAGCCAGGAGAGCCTGTGCTAACAAGCAGCAAGCCTACCAGCCCCCAGCGGCGGACCTGGTCTGTGGCTCCGCCGCTCACCACGTTTCGGCCGCGGAGGGTAAGGAGAACGGCGCATCGCAATACCCACACTCCTCTACCCCCGTGGCCCCACCGCCACTGCATCAGCGGTGCAGCCTCGCTTAGTCGCGGAGGATAGGGAGAGCGGCCAAACGCAATACCGGCACTCCTCTTCCCCCGCGACTTCTCCTCGGTAGCAGAAGACAGGGAGGGTGGCTCCTCCTCTACCACCCTCGACCTGTCGAACCCTGCACCCTCCAGCACGCATCCAGAGTGGGCTCAATGAGCCCACTCGGAGCGGCCCTCTCGGACCGGCCTTACACCACAGGCCAGCCCAGTGTGGGTTCCTCTTAGCTTCGCCATGGGTGACCAAGCCACGGCTACTAAGCTCCTCCGCCACGTCATGGCGGGAACCCGGTCGGAGGGGATTTGTTAATAGCCTAAAGTTACAGATTGGCTAAACCACGACAGTTTTTTTTATTATTTTTATACCCATCATAACTTCTAAAAGAAAAGTCCGATCCGAATAATGTATATAATCATCCTACAGTATCAAACCATTTACATGGATAAGGATTAATATCACGATACCATTATCACCACTAATGGATTCCGCCCGTGTATGAATAATTTAATCAAAAACTCTTATTGTGGCTTAACTATAAGCGAAATGTATATACCATCGAAATATTTTTGTGATAAATGATGAGAAATACTCATATTTGTATATAGAACACTATTTTGTAATATATCGTTAATAGCTTTCGGCAACGCACGCAAAATAATGTATTTTATAGGCAACAAATTAATACCTTGGGTTATAATGTTCCATTTTGGGTAGGTATCTATTTTTTTTGTAAATGTAATGTGAAATTTCTAATGGTGAAAGAAAAATGGGTTGGCGTGTTTTTGAGTAAAATCGTAACAAACAGACAAAGACAAAACATGCTAATATTGTAAACAGACGTGAAAGACGTAGAATTTCAAATAACTGCGATACGAGGCTTTGTTTTTCCCAACTCTAACAATATTGGATATAACAAAATGGATGGTTATGGGTTAGTTAAAGTAAATCATGAAACTTTTAAAGTTCGTCAGACCGTTTACATGTTTTATGTATCTATATTGTTTATCTTATTATGTTTTAATCTCCTTAATATTATCCTTAAGCTTATATCCATTTTCAACATATAAAATTTCTTTACAGAGGTCATAAATATAAATATCCAAACAAACAGTCTAATCGTTTGCTTCTTATCATTTTCATGTTTTTCGTTATTGTTTTAAATACTTTTTAAAACCAGTTTTTTTTTTTCAAATCTGCAAAATGCCAACAAGAGAAAAATTTCAACTATCTGAACATATTTCCCAAGCGAGGACGGTTAAGCAGAGAATCTTCAATCTGAAAATGAGGATTGCCAAACCAAAGAAAATACGCGTCGCAGTTGCGTGCCAGAGAATCGAGCATCGAACGCTCACAGCGTCTTGCTGAATAAAGTCTAAGAACTTCACAGGCAGTTCGCAGCGTCTCTCTGAACAGAATAAACAGAATAAATCGAGGGTCGAGTTCGCAGGGTCTCATTGATATGAATTGTAGAAAGTCATTGGTACATGCACGACGATCGAGTACTGAGCGTTTACAGCGCAAGCCGAAGAACGAAATACTAGATATAGGCGAATAATGAACACCCCGAGCAACTTAGAGTGCAGGGAGAAATACGGCAAGCAACAAAACTACATAGAATTTACGAACGAATTTTAGCTAACAGTAACAGATTAGGCACGAACCACAAGTAAAGGCTCATCAAACTTCTGTCCAAATAGGAATAAACTCAGAAACTGCTAGACTAATTTCAAAAAATTGTTCACCAATGGAAATCTCCATTATCAGCGAATAACACAAGCTTATTTCTATCATGCAAATTGACCGAGTTATCATAATTTTCGCGGACGTAGTCGCGGGTGAAGTGATAGTTTCACAATACACATGAGACGAAACTTACGATCCAACTCTATAACTCTATATTCTACCATATAACTGGACCACGTTGGGCGGAAAGACCTTGGAGCTCGTAGGTGTATTACTTGGTGCGAAAATCGCCTACCGGTGACAGATATGTAGTAGTGGTGCTAGTGTAAACAACTTTAACCACTAGCTAACCCTCCCTAGCAACGTGGTGAGCAGAAAGCCTCAAATAAAAACAAAGCTATAAAGACGGTACATCAGTATCTGCCCTGAATTATGACTATGAAGTGTTCTTCATACTCATGGTGCGGTATCTTTGATACCGCACCACGAGTAGTTTTAAAAACGTAAAACATACCCACGTCAGAGGAGCTGCCTGCGAGAAGTCGGCGGTCTCGCCACCTCTCTCGATTGCAGAATGCTAATAAAATATGTAAGGCGCTACGGACTCAATCGGAGCCAGTGAGGACCCGACCAAGTCTTTCACTGGTATTATTACTAAGTTTTTCCCGAGTAGTACTTAGACCCCCCTCATTACGCCTCACCGTGCGTAACAGTTCTTTTAAACTTATATACTGGAATCCCGGTGGTGCGGGTGAAATACGTACCCTCACTCAGACATTTCACATTCATTTTATATCCTTCAGGTTTCTCTACTTTTTTGATTACTGGCGGGACTAAGTCCGCAGTACAGTGGACTGCAGTACTAGTGGGGATGCCTTCCTTATAAGAAGGAAATACCCCAAATCCATTATAAATAAGGGCGTGGGGATAAGTGTAGCTGGGAGAGATTCGAAGCTTACCGTCCTCCCAACACATAACTCCGCTCATCCGACATCTAGTCTATCTTCTGATATGATGATGATCATGATATTAGCGTACCAGATATTTGCGTACCATTTTACGCAAATATCTGGTACGCTACGTAAATTATTGACGCACTGTTCTTAAAGCTTATCATTTGAAACAATTACAATGTAATACAAAACAGTTACAATTATAAAACCATTACAATTTCAATTTCAATTTGGAAGAACAGTTTTACCGTTTCCCAAACGACAAACCGTGGCCGTCTGTTTATATAGCAACGTAAGTTTTTTACTTCTTCAGTCTTTCACAGTCTTTATAATGACTATTTTAAAGTGTTATAATGACTAGTTTACTTTACAACAGGCAAACTTAATAGGAGTAGGTAATTGTTTTATTTATATATTTAATCTTAATGCACACACTGGTACAAAGGCGGACTTAATGCTAATGGCATTTTCTACCAGTCAACCAGGGTGGTGTAGAGAAACTTAGACAAATACTAAGTGTGGAACGATAAAATGATGTTTCTCAATATAGTGAAAATCATCATTTTCACTGTATTGAGAAACATTATTTTACATTTGTAATATTTTACATAAGTAATAGCCTCTACATATCCCACTACAGGGCAAAGGCCTCCTCTTTTACAGAGGATATCAGGGCATAGTCCACTACGCGGCCCCACTGCGGATTGGCGAATTTCACATCTTTAAAATGTCTTTTTTTGTTATTAAGAAAATATGCAGGTTACCTAACGATGATTTTCTTCGACGTTGAGCTCGTGATAAAGATGATTGATACGTTTCAATGAGTCTAAACATATATATGATTTTAAATTTTCAACGAACTTACTTATTTCACATACATATTTGTATAGCTTAGCCAAACGATATGTAATATTCGGTATAGTATAATGTTCGCGATAGTCAAACAAAGTCGTTATTAGTTTTATGACATATATTTTTTTTAATTATTGTTACTATATAGTTATGTACATAAGACAAATATTATTTTTATCAATACTTTCAACATGTTCATTGACTAAATAAATAATGCCAAAATGTTGAAGAACGGACTAAAATTAAACAATCCCATTTTTTTTATTAAGTTTTAGAATCTTTTATTTTTAATATCTCTATTTTAAAATTTCTACTGAACGACTCGTCTGACTGTAAACGGAAGGTGAGACCCGTAAATCAGTTCTAATTATATTATAATACATGCTCTCCATTAGTCAAACCATAATTATTATGACAAAGTTTATAAACAAGCTAAAGTATGAAGGAAACACTTATAAAATCTTTATAAATTATTTTTAAGTAGTAAAAAAATTTTTAAAATATTACTTCTATATTTAAATATAACTTCCTCGTTATAAAATAGAATTATCCTTAAAAATAATTTTATATAAGAATTAGAAAATTAAAACTAAATATCACCACATTGAGATAGCCAAACTAGCAATGCATCAAACTATGTACTTTCAATAAAACGTAAAAAGAAAGCACTCTTTTGTTTCAAACGAATGGCAACAGAAGAGGACAGGTCTAATTTTTTACTGGGTGATTGAGAACCATAATCTCAATCAAACGCTCACAACACTAGAGATATCGCAGTTGTGTTGCTAAGCATTGTAAGATTGGAACTCCGTAGAGTTGTTGTAATGAAACAAAATATTAAATTCTTTTCGGAGTGTTTACATGAGCAGCTCGACTCCACAACAGAGTTTCCCATAAATTTCTTGTGAGTTCTATCAATGATGAACAAATATCTGATTATGGTATATTTCCTGAATCTTATCACGGATTCCTTATTATATTTCACCCTGTTTTTTATGCACCTGCATACCGTTTCTCATATCTGTGGTATTCGTGTTTTTCTTATCTAAAAAGAATCATTAATATCATTAATAAAATAATCTTAATCAAAAAGTATCTTCATTGGCGGAATACACAGTGACTACATCAAATGAATCCAAAATGTTTGAATAAATCTAATGATTTTTTTCTTTTGTCACTATAGGAAATAGAAATGAGTTGAAATTTAAAATTAATGTATTAGATCCTTTGAGAGTAATTAGTCCTAAATAAACTGTTCACAATGATATCATCCATACCTTTAGTTAAGAGGAGCTTCGTCAATGTGGAAAAGGGAGCATCTATTGTAACTGTTACCACAAAAGCTATAATCATTGTTATAAATAAGAATGCTGTTGTGTCGAAAATCTGAAAATATTGAAACTAAAATTAGACAATAATATAGTATCTGTCAGTTCTTAATTTCAAAATGAATTCTAAAACTTTAAACTATACTAAAATTTGAAAACTGAGAATTATGCGATGCCTAAAATTATAGACCGCTTTGAATTTTATGTCTGTCCAACTGCCATCATTTTTGTCATGTGATTAACGGATTTGGCCAGGATATTGTACGACTGGCCACTTGCCTGACCTCATCCCTCTTTGGGAACAACTCATTTATTTCGTGTGGGAATCAAACCCACGACCCGCGATGCCGACGCCAATGGCTTAGTAACTTGTGCCACCGTGTCAACCTTTCGTGTTTGAAAACTTAACTCGGAAACAGCCAAACGAATCAAAGAAAATGATTGTATTTAAAGTAAGAATTTCAACTTAAAGTTTACGTATGTTACAGCATTACCAGATTTTTGTAAATAAATCATTTAATGCAAATGTGGTTAATGTGGAAAGATATATATTCAGTATAACTAGTTTTAAACAGTAATTATTAAATAAAAAGATAATCAATATTATTTAAAATAGAAATAAATTCAATCTTATGTTTTCTTATACTGATATTAGCTTGCTATTTTCTAACTAATTATATCGATCACAATAATATTGAAGAGATATTAAAATACTTACAATTCTTGGAATAGAAAAGTATGGTTGAACATTTGATGAAGAATTTACTGCTAAAATTAATGTAAAGTGTATTAAATATACTGCGTATGACAGACGTGCTGGTAATTTCCATATACTTAGTGATAAAAACCAGTTGATAGGACCTGAAAATTACAATAATAATAATATGTATTTGTAATATTAAAAACTAGTAAGTAACGTGACTGATAATAAAATTAAAAATAACACAAAAAATTTTGTTTCTATAATCCAAATATTATTACCTCCATATCCTTTAACGCAAGCGAATATCAGCCATCCAAGGCCTAAAGCCCAGGCAGGTCTCATATAAGAGTTTATTAAATTATCAACTAACTGATTATTCCAACCATCTCGAAGACTTAAGGGCACGCAATAAATCACACCAGCGAGAACTAGCAATGCAAAGCTCCAAGTTGTTAGTATAATTGTCTGCAACAAATTTAACATACAACGTTGTTAATTTTATGTTTAAATGGTTTACTTGTGATTTTCGAGACTTTATTGTAGCACATATTCATTATATACCGTATAATCGCTTAATAATTTAGATCAATCTAATAAGTTTTGGTCCATTTTATAAACACGTCAAATATCAATTAGGCGATGACGATTTCAATATGAAATTTCATAAATACGTTGCAAATGTGATCATCGATGTGGGAGGATTATTGTATGGATCCACCAGAAGCGATTTATTAAAGCCTTACCTTAGGGATTTGTGGACGTTTTCCTTTCCATAAGTGTAATATGTATCCAATAATCATTCCAACAAAAAACGGAGAAGCACGAGTAAGCGTGTTTGAGTAGTAGTAAGCATTATATCTTTCTAGATCATCCATGCTGAAAAAAAAATGGCATTGTGCTTATTGTCTCGCGACATTGGGGATTATTGTATAATATTTGTATGAGTATGACAAGATAAAGAATAGTTTAAAATATGGTGACATACTAAATAAGCCTAAAATATTTTTCTTTTAATAAATAGTGGAAACACACACATTTTAAATACTATTATGAAATAATACTTCTTTGACGTGAAGGTCATACCGTTTTACAATTAGTGTCTCCACATATTTACTTTAAAAATATCAAAAAAGAAGATTTTCTTAACAATCTGGTCACTAAATTATATCTGTTTTCACCTATTCAGTATTTGCTAATGAAAAGCATGAACTAACAGAGAACTAAGGTTGAAAAATTACATAGGACCCAGCTAGCATATTCAGGCGGACTTTATAGAGATAAATATAGATAAATAAATAATAACTTCATTTATTTTTACGAAAACACGTACTTTTGTGCAAAGAAGCCAGATTTGAAGTTGTTTATAAAATTATATATGGAAGCGCCAACGATCGAAGTGAATAATCCGGCTATCAACGCAGTCCATGCAATATTTTTCTTCCCACTCAATACCCAAGCTAAGATAATCGGTGACAGTAAGTGCAATTGAACGTCCACAGAAAGATACCATGAGACGGAAATACACTGAAATGAAAATAAAAGCTAGAAACCATAATAACAATAATTATTAGTAACACTTTTTATTTTTAAAAAGCCCGATCTTTTAAGGTATATTTGTTGCAAAATTTTAATACGAAAATCTGACCGGACTAATTTTAGTTACACGATTTGTAAGTGCAAGAGTTTTGTCAAGCCAATGTGCTTACCAAATGCGAAGGATTATATATATTTTGAATGTGCAGTAACGTTGACCACCAATATTGCCTGCAATTGAGTATTGGCACAACCATATCATTCCATTTCGGACCATCAAACACTCGATTAAGAAAAGACACCTCGTAAAGAATAAGCGCAGCGAGTATCGGAAACATTCGAAGAAGTCGATTCAAATAAAATAAATGGATGTTTTTTAGGAGTTGCACTGTAATTGACATATAATTTAGTATAAATTAGTTTAAATTATTTATTTATGAAATTACATATATTATACACACATAAATTACATTACTTACTGGTAGAAAGTTTACCCGCTGTGGAGTAAACAATAAGTAAGCCGCTTAACATGAAAAAAGTGTCGACGGTAATAGTGGCGGAAGTGATCCATAGTGCTCTAGGTGAAGTAGCCCACTGCAACAACAAACGATTTATTCACATAACAACTTCAATCCGCAGTTCTCCACAATATTTAAATGTGTGCCCAAACCTGATAAGACATTTATGATTCTATGGTGATAAAGAATCAATTCAATCGCATGCTTGCTTATAAATTCACTCACGGATAAGCAAGCTAGATACGTTGTTAGGATTCCATAAGGGAAAAACGGGATACTATCCGTCTGTCTGTCTGTCTGTCACCGGGTTGTATCTCATGAACCGTGATAGTTAGACAATTTACATTTTCACACAAAATGTATTACTGTTGCTGCTGTAACTACAAATCCCACAATACAACCGACATGATTTTTTACCGTTTCTTTAGATATTGGTACAGAACAGAAGTCCGTCGCATTTAGTTGTGTTTTTTTTTTCAATATACTTGGCTTTCTAGCACTGCAGATAGAGCACTGAGTCGAGGTTACTTTGACTTTCCACACTCATTGTAAGGTATTGGTAAAACTCAATTCAAAATCAATCCAATCAACCAAATATCAATAGGCACGTAGATGACTTCATGAAAAATCACTTAGGATTTTATTTATTTTTATAATTATGTGAAACTAAATTCAAGCACAATGCAAGATCTCCATACACCGTAAGTAGCTCGTGTAGACTAAAATTAAATCAATTAAAAAGCATATGTTTACCTGTGTACGCACTTAAAAAGTTATACTTGTTTGCCGTAACAAAAGAAAAATAACTAATTTGATTTAATAAGTCGATGGATGCAGGTGGCTCAGGATCGTACTTCATGGCAGTCTATGGGGGAGGCCTATGTTCAGCAGTGGACTCAAACAGGCTGAAATGATGATGATGATGATGATTTAATAAATTTTATCGTCTGTGCTAGTAAGGTGTTTGTAAAAAAGACATTAAATGCAATTGAAAGGGATTAGTTAAATAATTTTAGTATTTTAGGTAAATATTAAAATGTTGTTATTGGTTGCTGTGGTAATACAAGAAAGATAGATCTTTATGGTATTACCACTTTATGGTATAACCGTTTTATTATCAGTATGTAGTATTGGTTCTATAAAATAAAAAAACGAGAAAAAAGTTTTTATTGAATCTTATATCAATTCCTGTTTACAAGATTAAATCTAAAATTACATATTATCTAATAAACCTAATTAGATTATGTATTTGTGCCATTTGCTGTTGAAACATTAGGTCCGTGGGGTCCCCGCACATCAAAATTTTATATCCTAGGCTTAACGCCGTGGCTGGTGAAAAGAGAGCTGGTTCTTTTCTCGCTCAAAGGTTAAGCATAACTATTCAGCGAGGAAACGCAGCTAGCGTTCTTGGCACCATGCCGCGTGGATTAGGTTTATTAGAAAATAAAAAAATATATTAATATCCGCAATATTTTCTTCTGTCAACAAAACAAATACGCGTGGTGCAAGACAGAAAATATGATTAATGAAAAGTGTTCATTGAAAGAAAGTCTCCTTACTTGTGAAAATGTTTTGTTCAAAATTTCTGTACGTAACTAAAGAAAACCTTGACAAGAAAGTATGAGGAAATAGCATTTTATAACATACCTGAAATACTTCGAGTATATTAACGCTGGAAAACACTGACAGAAAAGTGTGACCCAGGACAACCCAAAGCATCGCCAACGATCTGATGCCATCTATACAATGCAACGGATCGGCGCCTGGTTTAAAAGTTACTAAACGCCGTGTGTTAGTGTATACTGAGAAACAACTGTAAATTGTTTTTATTCTATTTGTCTCTGAAATCAAAATAAGTAGTCCATCGATACATAATGATAAGCTGTCACGAATTGGCGTGTGCAGCATTAAAAACATTGCAGATAATTATAGGCCTCCGGAATCGATACGATTGTATAAAGAACTTATAAGTTATCGGTTACAAACATGAGTTATACTGTTGCTAAATAAAAATCTTCGCGGATAAGTATAACAATTTTTATGTCACTAGTAATTCCAATAGGTACTTTACCTTTTTTTAGAATAATCGAATACCAAACATCGTAACACGTGCTAAGTATTACAAGGAATAGTATTGTTGAAAATATTATTCTGAAATAAAAAAAAAAACATATGATGCTTCATGTATTATATTAATAATAAGCAAATTCATTCAAAACTAAATTATTAAGGCATAATTGTCTTCCTGCGATATTTTATTATATATCATTAAAGTTATATTTGGTGTAAGAATATAATTTACGCTTTGTTTTGTAGCGCTGTTCTGTCTCGGACAGTTTAAAAACATAACAATTTTGATTTTTATGAATAAAAATAGTCATTGTGAATATTTTAATAAAAGACTTACATTGCTATATAATCAGACGGTACCCAAGGCTTGTCGTTTGGGAGGCGGCAAAACTGTTCTTCCAAATTTAAATTGTAAATTGTAAGGTTTATGAACAGCGCGTCAACAGCTTCACGTGGTGTGCAAGATTCTGGTACGCAAATAGCCAAGCCCAAATTTATATTTGACAACGGGCCACTATCATAACTAATTCTGTAATAAGAAAATAATCTAAGTTTATTTCTTTGTATTAATAACATAGTTACTGTTTTAAAAAATTGCTTATTTTACAAAGATCAGCACATTATAAATTTGATCATAAAACTAACCTTGTATCGTGACTGTGTATCCCAAAAATTGCTCGAAAACGTTTGTCTAAACGTTCGAATTCAGAAAAGTGATTCAAGTTATCTTTGTATAAATCTACATTCGGCAAATCCAAAAAATTCATCATGCCCTGGTTCAATGATACACGTGTCATACAGTATTTTCCTTGAACAGTCATGTCTTCTACAAACTCATGAATATTCAAACATTGCTGGTAATTGCCTAAGTCAACGGTATTTCCCAATAAAATTGACTTTGGTATCCTTGCACTTGCATCAAGGACTGAAATTATTGATATAAAATAATCAGTATACGTGGTGCTGGTATCATTGTTTGAAACAACACTTGTAATACTAAAGTGATGAGTGAAAACGCTTTGGACGTACATGATATTAATGTCACAGTTTCTTCTCACAGATATATTTATAAGGGATTAGCCGGATTAATATATAACTCATAACCTTACCACTAACTACAACGCTTCGGAAAGTAGTACTCATATTGATTCAGCGTATGCTGTACGCATACGCTGTAAGTTTAACATTTGCAGAAAAATAAGTGAAAAATTTAAATTTAAATAACTGAAAAGCCAAATCGATAACAAATGTATCATTGACATGATGCAATTGTATCAAAACCACACAGTACTTAACTAATAAAATGGATTTAGATCGGATGATACACAATTTATTATACAAAATTTTAAACATCACTTCTTTAAAAGACTTGAACTTATGAACAATATGGAATTATCATAACAAAAATATTACATCTTATTTTTAAAAAAATACTTACATCGCAGCATCAATGCAGTGTTATTGACTTTCATGGAGCTCAATTGCCTTTGACATAGCTCTGGATTGAGTACATCTTCATACAGTTTTCTGTCGAATGGATAATTAGAATAATGAGTATGATTCACTTGATTTATTGTTATCACCCCATTACAAAATTTATTCGTAAATATCGTAAAAAAAATCAATATCGAAAATAATGATTTAGATGTCATTTCTCTAACTATGTATGTTCAGAGAAACAATGAGCTATGCGACGTTTTTTGTTGCTTACACTTCTTATAGGATATTCCGAAGAGTTAGTTTATCTTATCTCCATAATTAAAATCGATAGCTAGTTTAATAATATTATTTTTATTTATCTCGCGTGTATAAGAGATCGTGATAGCTCAGTGTCCGGGAGCTCGCCTTTAATTCAATATACTCGAGCAACCTGAGTTCGATCCCCGGTGCCGGCACCAATGAAGTTATTACCTGAGCTGAGGTGCTGACTTATCACGTGCTCCGCCGTGAAGGAAAACATCGTGAGGAAACCTGCATATTTGTATCTTGTATTAACTGATGTTTTTGCTTTCAGTCCCGAGACTATTAAAGCTTCATCGGACGCAGAACCGGTGGGCTATCCAGAATCCACGGGTTTGGACCATCCGCTATAGGTAGTGTCGCGCATGTGCTCATGCGTGCGTTTAACTATGGTGTGTCATCTAAGGGCCGTCGAGGTCGCGGTTCGGACCGAGACCCCGACGGCCGTCGACTGTGCAATTAGCTAATCGGTGGCTGGGAGCGGTGAGAACCGCCCCGGAACGCGGGTGTACCTTGTGTACGCGTTGTGTGGGTCTCGCCGTGCTCGGAGGCGAGGGCGAACTGGTGTGATTGTTGTTACACTAACTGTGGGTGTAGTGTAATCCGGCGGGACCCCCGGCGGTGGGTCCATCGTATCTAAGTCCTCTTCGTCGACCGGGTCAATGAGGACGTTTCGCGGGCGACGCTTGTTTAAGTTCGCGTTAGTGTCCGGTTGGTAGTTTGCTGCGCTTACCACCAAAGGGTTGGGATTAAATCGGGCTCTATCGAAGAACCGTTTTGCCAAATCTTTAAAATATGCGCGAATCTTCGGGAGTCTGCAATCGCTGTGCAGGTCGACGTTGCGCTGATTCCATTGCGCACCGGTTGCGCGGCGGATAAACTTACTTTGGACTACTTGCAATTTGTTAATGCACGTAGGGTTTATATGTGCGAAGATCATGCATGCGTAGGACATGATTGGCCTTACGCAAGCTTTATATAACAGTAATTTGTGCCTTAAGGGCATTTTACTTTTCTTATTCGTTAAATTGTGTAGCCGGCCGGAGACGAACGCGGCTTTATTACGGACTTGATTAATGTGCGTAGTGAAAGTCATACGCGAGTCGAAAGTGACTCCTAAATATTTAACCGTTTTCTCCCAGGGGAGCGTTGGGCCATAAAGTGATATTTGCCCCAACTTTCTGTACTGGCGAGGACCTTTGTAACGGTGTGGCGGATGGGGGTTGGGGGTGCTACGCGTGAAGTGAATCGCCACACTTTTTTCTGGATTAATATCAATTCTCCATTTGCGGAACCAATCGCCGAGGCGGTCGGCGGCGCTTTGGAGTCGAGTCGTTAATTGACTGAGGTTGCGATCTGAGTAAAAGAGCGCCGTGTCATCCGCGAAAAGCGCGAGATTGACGTGGGGGTCTCTAGGTATGTCGCTCGTGTAGAGCGTAAATAGAAAGGGTGAGAAGCAAGAGCCTTGTGGTACGCCGGCCGTGAGGCGGCGGCTTGTGGAGAGGGTGCCCTCGACTCGATATCGAAAAGAGCGGTTCAACAAAAAGGCCCGGATGGTGTGTACGAGCCTATCTGGCACTTTGAGTGTGTACAGCTTGTAAAGCAAGCCGTTGTGCCAGACTTTGTCGAATGCTTTTGCGACATCGAAGAAAAGAGCCCCTGTACTGATGTGTTTCGGGTGGTTTAGGCCTTTAAGGATGTGCTCCGTTAGGCGGTATAGCTGGTCGGGACAAGAGTGTCTAGCTCGAAAGCCGAATTGTTCCGTCCGCTGATGGGACGATAGCCAGGAGGCCGATTAGCTGGTTATTCGGCTTGCGAATGCCGATAACCGTGGCTTGTTTCCAGTCATCCGGTAAGGAGCAACTGGAGAGAAGGGTATTGAAAATGGTCGCCAGTAAACAGATAAGCGGCCCAGGGAGAGCTTTGAGAATTTTATTACTTATATTATCTGGGCCCGGGGCGGATTTCGGTTATAAATTTTGAATAATATCTTGGTCCTCTTCGGGGGTCACTGAATTTAAAGGTTCACCTTCCGGTGGAAGCGCAGTCCTAGTCTCGATTACGCGGTCCACCTCCGTTAGGTGGTCTGTATCGGTGTGTTCGTGCGATGGCGTACATTGCTGCTCTAGGTTGTCCTCAAGGCATTCGGCTTTTTCGGAGTCATCTAGGGCTACTGAAGCGCTATTAGGTCTAACTAACGGCGGTAGAGATTCACGTGGGTCTGCTTTCAGACTGCGGGCCAACCGCCAGTAGGCGGTGTGCGATGGCTCGATGTCCTCTAGGAGAGTGTCCCACGTTGTATGTCGGTGTTCCGATACACGATCTTTGACTTCTAGCTGAAAGCGTCGAAGTAGGGTTCGGTTCGATTCCGATCGGTATCGGTCGAAGGCGCGTTTGGCTGCATTTTTCTGTCTAATTAACAGTCTTAGGTCGGGCGGAAAGTTAAACCGTCGGTCGCCCGACAGTTTCATCATCCGTTCCGAGTCTGTGACTATGGAAGTAATGGTTTCTCGGAGACTTGCTATTGCTTGATTTGCGTCATCGAACGTAGCTATCGTCTCGGGTAGGTCTACTAAGTCCTGGGGGTCCAAGGCCTTGAGTTTCACCTCAAGACGATGCCAGTCCACTACGAATTTGTTCGGAGGGACCGCGCCGGCGTTCTGGCCCAGTTTACACAGGACGGGCCTGTGATCTGAGTCTAGTTCATGGATTGTCTCTCTCGACTCGATGTCGAGCGAGACCTCCCTGAATAACATGATGTCTAGGACACTCGGTGACGTGTGCTGGTAGTTGTCCACCGTAGGACACGTAGTGGGAGTCACGGGAGCGACTATGCTAAAGTTTAGGTTACCGATAACCTATAAGCTAAAGAGATGCTTTCCGTTGTTATTTGGGATGCTGTTGGTATACCATGAGCCGTGTTTGCAATTTAGATCTCCTGCAATTATTACGGAAGGGCCTAAGTTAAGTAGCGTATCTAGGTCGCTTTGAAGTAAGGTTCTATTGCCCGAGAGGTAGGCTGAGACTAGTACAAGCGGCCTGTGGCCGGTGAGCGCTAACCTACACGCGGATGCCTCTATTTGACTTAGCACTGGAATCTCGAGCGGGCAACAGTGCAAGGACCGTTTATAGTAGATTAATGTGCCTCCCAGACGGTTTGCTAACCGTTCGTAGCGGAAAATATTGTAATTTGCGATTCTGGGATCGCGTACACTAGGTTTTAAGAATGTCTCTTGCACTAGAAAAATATCTACGTTATAATCGCGAAGGAATTCCGCAATGATCCCTTTGACCCTTTATGCCGTTTGCGTTGAAATACGAAACAACCAGAGCCCGAGGTTTTGTTCTACCTGCGGTTGTACTTCCCATTAAGGTGTTTTTATGATTCTAATTAACGACGCGGCGGAGCGCGGTTTTATTGCGCGGACTATTATGTCTTTTATGGTTGGCTCGTAAAAGCCCATAGCTTCGGCCTCGTGCACTCGGTTGTGCCGTGGTCACCGGTGCATTTGACGCACCTAGGGTGAGCGAAGCAATTATTGGCCGTGTGGCCAAAATGTTGACAGTTGTGGCACAACACCTGATTTGCGCGGGGGCTCGATGACTAAGTCACTGAGCCCACAGACCCTCTTTAGGTTGAAGATGGCCTTACCTTCCGGAGTAGGGTCAAGGTCAACCATTACCATGTCCATAGGGACACGGGTGCGAAGGTGTCTGAGCCGACGTACGGCGTGCACAGGGTATCCCTAAGTGCGCTAGGGTGAGTACCTAGCTGTCGCCTAATGCAACAAGCACACAGATAAAAATTACAATTCCGCCTCTGAGACGAGAAATGTGTGTAGAATTCTACTTACGGACAGGAACCTGCCTACGAGCACAACACTAAACTAACACTCTCCGCTCGGTAGTCGGGCAAAGTTTCTTCTTTCTTCTATAATGTCTCTTCGTTCTTCTATAACTTTTCTTCTATCTTATTGCTTGAGACTTCCCTAACCGTAGACCGCGCAACACGACAACGATGAAGAGAGCAGTGCACACCAAAAAAGAAAACAGATATATTAGCAACAACGGTTGCAAGATGGCTTCCGGGTCAGCTGGCATGGGCCCTCCGGCTCAGAGTAACGTCCGTTCCGTGTGGAAGCACGAAGCAGAATGTAAAAAGACCTGCATATTTTCGAAATAATAACAAAAAAATATATATTTCGAAGATATGTGAAGTCCGCCAATCCGCAGTGGGGCCGCGTGGTGGACTATGCCCTGATACCCTCTGTACAGAGGAGGCCTTTGCCCAGCAGTGGGACATGTATAGGCTGTTACTTTACTTTTTTCAAAAAAACTGGGTCAAGTTATAATTTAGACGCGCTTGGGGGCTTGTTCAATACTGAAAATCTTTTCCAAGTATTTATGTATGCTTGCACTGACTACTAAATACTCAATTTCCAAAAATAAGTAAATGTTTTCGGAATACATACCTAAAACTATATTTATATTTCTTTTATTGACATAACAGTGATTGTCTCTTCGGTTACTTATTATTCCAGTTTTAGCTTATCTGATACTTTAAGGATTTTGAATTAGATTGTATTCCGCGTCAATTAGAGATAATATCTAATTGTTGGTGACTAATTCATATAAGATAGAGTAATAACTGTGTCTTATATGCATTAGTCACCGAATCATTTTATTGATATGGTATACTGAATAAGTATTCTGCTAAATTATTCCTGGTATA